TCAGCAGGGAGGCTGGAGAGGAGTATGGAAGCTGCTCTGCCAGCTCTCTGCCATTGGAAAACCTTCAAGCTTTGGGAGATGTTCCTGAGGCCGGCTCTGCAGTTAAGTACAGCACAGTAGTAGACAGCAATTGCACCTCACCCAGGAGTTTGGGACTTAAAGCTCAACTCTGTCACAGGAAAATATTAGTGCACACAGCTTTCCTGAGCAGGAGCAGGGGCATGTTAATGTGTACAGCACTTCCAGCGCTGTCTTGAATGCCTTCTCCTGTGTTGTACTGAACTTACTGACATTTGAGGGTGTAAAAATACTGATCTGCCTGCACGCTCCAAGCCTAGTTTACATTTGGCAGCTCTAAATGGTAAAGCACTTGCATGTCACCAGCTTTTTATATCTTGGCTTATAAGGCAAAGGGAAGAGGTGACACAGGTAACAGCGTATCATTGAAGGGAAGGGAATGTTTCATGGTAGAGAGAGTATAGTGCTCATTTGGTGTATAATGTCACAGATTGCTTCATATTTAACTGTATGTAGAGATATTGTCCAGGGAGCATTTTCTGCATGACTCAGAACAACATCAGCTCCAGCAGTTGGTTGCATTCAGCATAAATATTTTGAGTTCTTCATTACTATTAACAGAAAATAGTAATTGTTGCATCTTGCACCTTCTCTTTTTTTAAATGAAACTTGGCAGGACCAACCACTCCTTCCTCATGCCAAATTATGCACTGTGGAGCTCAGTCCATGAAATTTTATTGTTGCAGTTGATGTAAATTGCATCTAATGGGCAGATGACTCATGGCTGTGCTGACATCCAGCTTTGCATCCTAAAGGCACATACCAGCAGGCTGGAAGCATAGGCAGAGTAAACAGGGCTTATTTCTCTTTCCTCTTTCCTGGGATAATTTTCTTCCCAGTGCTGGCCTGCAGAGCTCCTGGAATGCCACTCTTTGCTCAGGTCCCTTGTATTGTGGCTGCAGTGGCCTTAACAAAGCATCCTTAGCAAGCACTGTATGTTGGTGCCAAGGATTGAGGGCTATGGGTGAGGGCAGATCTGATCATTAAGCAGAATTCCAAGTACTTATGTAGGCTTTTTATAGTGGGAACAAACCATCAGGATACAGTTCCTGTAGTTCCCCCCCCCGCCCTGCTAAAAAATAATTTGTGGAGGATGTGGGAACACAGCACTCAAAACTGGGGACTGTCATCTCATTGTCTTCCTGTGCTCCCAAGCCTCCTGTAGCTGGAAGCGTGGTTATAATTTTGTTGTTGGGGTCAGATTTGGTTATAAAGCACATGATGCCTATGGCCCAGCCCCACCCTGAAGGCATTAATGTGATGTAACTGGTACATTAGTGGGAAGCTAAACCAGTTTGGGATGCAGATGAGGAGGGACTTCTGCCCTGCTGCGAAACCTCTCAAGGCTGATGTGGAGAATCCAGCTTTGCACTGGAGCAAGTCCAAACCCCTCTTCCCACTCAGGTTGTGAAGTACAAGGTAAATAAAAACATAATTGTTATTTTGTGGAAGGGCTTCTGAAGGCTTTAGAAGAAGGGAAGGTGACAGCTACAGGGCGGGAATGTCTGGAACTACTGTAGCATTTGTTAAGCTACCAACAAGAAAGTTTACTCCATCCTTCTGTAACTTCATTTAAAACTTGGTATAATTACTGTTTATGCTAAAGCCTAAAGCTGCTTCCTGTTTCCAGTGTAGTAATTGTGCCAGAGGCACACCATTTATTCCCAGTGTATCAGCCCAGGATATGGTCATTACCACATTAATAGGAAGTACCTTCAAATTGTTATACTTGGCAATAACTATATCCTGGAGTAACAAACTTCTCGCCATTCAGTGTGTGAGTTTATAAGCATCTCCTGAGGAGAATAAACAGGAAAGCACTTACCCTCTCTTCCCTGCCCCGTTGCTTGAAATGCAATTAATTAATCTTAAAGATGATTTTAGAGGAGAACCTACTTTGAAGACACTGCCAGTGCACCAGTATATGCTAAGGAAATGGGTTTGTGCTCTCCCAGTGTTATGGTGTTATGTATAGGCTGGGGTGAGGAATGGGAAAGCTGGAAGTTGCCTGTATGGTACAGTAACTCCAAAATGGAGTTGGTGTCCCCAAACATCTAGGTGCCCCATCAGTTTTGCTGCTCCAGGGTGGAGTGCACCAGGCTGGGGTGAGTAATGGCCTTTGCAGAGGGCTGGTCACTGTGAGGAAATGCCACATGAAGTGGTGATTTAATTCTGCAGCTTGACTTGGGTATTTGGCAGTGGCAGTTTCAGCCTCTTGGATTTGGAATTGTGGCAATGACTTGTTTTAATTTCTTGAACCAACTTTAAGCATCGTATTTACCAACTTTTGTTTTCAACAAGAAAATATATGAATTTTAATTAATCCAAGCTGAAGTTAAAAAGAAAACAAGCCTCTGCATTGGTGGGGGAGGTTAAGGGACTGGAGTACTTTGGCTCTTTTTTCTATGGGATTCAATCTGAGTGCTTGTTTCACTACTTTTTGCATTCTAAGCCTGTCCAGCTTGCTCTGTTGTGGTGGGATGGTGTGGTGGTATTGAATGTGTCCTGTTTTCTGGCCACTGTTGCTACACCAGTGAAGCCCGATTGATTTTTTTTTTTTTTCCCCACATCCTTAGTTTTGCTTAAAAACTTCCCTGGCACTTCCTTCTCAGCTGAGTATGGTCTGCTCCGGGGGCTGAGTGAGCCACACATGCTTGTTGTGCCAGAGGGGAGGTTTGGAAAGGCCCTAAAATACCGCATGGCCCAGCTTACTGGGGAAATGCTCCAGCATCCTGGGCTGCCCTGGAGTACAGATGGAAGAGGAAATTACTCTTGCTCCAGTAAGAGAAATTATAACTTCAGTGAGCAACCTCAGTGCATCCTATTCCTTTCCCTATAACCTGGAACTGGCAGGCAGCTCTGAAAGGGCCTTGTGCATCCTGGCTGTTGCAGGAGAATCAGCTGTGGATAAACATTTCCAGTAGGATTGGAGAGTTTCCTGAGCACCCTGTGTTCCCTCTGAATTAGTGCTGGTGCGCAGGGCGATTCCTGGAGATGGCTGTGCCTGTGCCAAGCACATTTCACACCGTGTGAGCCAGTTCCTTACCTAGGAAGCAGCAACTTGAGCACTTGACTCCAGTGTCTCCACATGCTCACGCTGTTGGATCCCAGAGGAATCATCTGCCTAACTATTGGCAGGGAGCTTTTCCATTCCTCCCTGTTACAGACTATGAACACTTTGTGGGAGCGCAGGGGTCAGTCAGGTTTGGATCTCTCACAGCAATTAGCTCTACAGCTCCAGTTGTATTGGATTTTGCCAGAGGATGCTAAGGGGAGGAGCACAGCTACATGCTTAATTGGGTATTTAATCCCCTCAGGGCCTTCGTCTCTTTAAGAGTCTCCATCCAGTGAGGTGCTGATGCTGTCTGGTCTCCAATTGCTGCAGCCACTAATTGCAGGAGGAGAACAAAATAATGCTCCTTGGAGGGAAAGTCAGCTCCTCAATTCTGTCATGTCATATAACTTCAGAGTTTCCATATAGATCTATCCAGCTGCTAGCAGGAGGTGTACATTTGGCAGGACTTGAAAAACTTGTTTGAAGGGTCAAGGTGCTGTCAGCTGCAGTTTGGTGTTCATCTTCAGTGGGACTGTCTTATGGTCTGTTTTGTTCCACTGTATGCTGGGGGAAAGCTTTGCCATGCCAATATCCTAGACTGGGTATTGGGAAGAGTGTGATAAATGCTAATGCTGGAGAGGATGTGTTTAAAATTATCCTGGCCTGGAACTGGCAGTGGCCCAGCCTCCTCTTGAGAAGAGCAAAGCCAGGAAGGAGCTGATTTCCAGGGCCTGACCGGGCCTCTTTGGCCAGACCATCAAGCCAGTTCTGTTCTCATGATGCACAAGGGAGGAGGGAAAAAATAGCTTTTGACTTTTTTCTCTATGTGAAATGATTTGGAATATTTGTCAAAGGCAGTGGAGGGAAAATTTGCTTGTTTTGGTGTTGTTTTCCTCTTTTCGCTCCGGGTCTGTGTGGGTTCCTGGGCAGCACAGGTTTAGCAGCAGTGCTGGTGAACCCAAATGTCAACTATAAAGGTGCTTCTTTTGGCTTGATGGGGGGAGCAGCCCATGAAAACAAACTAGAAAACTTCAAAGTGTTTGGAGGGAATGTAGCATTCCTTCAAAGATGGAGAAGTGCTGCTGTAAACCTAAAAGCTTAGAGCTTTTTTTGTCTAGGAAGAGGGCAGTACAAAACTTTCATAGTTTTGTACTGGATGTTCTTGTGTGTTCATTGACTTTGGTAAAAAAAAATTCAAGGAGACTTTTTCACTAAAGCTGAGGCTTCACAGGACAATTGAGTGACCCCACTTTCCCACTCTCACCATCTCTCTTGTACCAACTCTGCTCACCTGACCGTTGGTATTGAGGTTCTGTTCATTAAGCCACGAGCAAAGGTTTTTCTTTTGTCTGTATTTTCACCAGTGTGTGGGGGTAAACTGATTTCCTAAGGCAGCATGTGAACTCCTCCAGGGCAGGAGAGGAGCAAGACATGGGGCTGGGGGGAGAACATGGTTCATTCAGCAGGAGATCAACTCATTGTGTCTCGAAGTTGCTCCTGCTGAAGGGATGCATGAGGATCAGATCAGTGCTAGGTTCTGTTTTCACATTTTTAGCTAAGTTTAAAAACCTGGGACAAACCACTTTCCTTGCATTTTTAAGGGTGCCTTCTGCTAAGTTGTAATATTTTTTTTTTTTTTTGTACATAGTACCTGAAATGCTACTAGCTATAAATCATACAAATACTACTTAGTGTCTGTCTATGAAGTTACAATTGATGTTAAGCCCCTACTATTTCTGCATGATTAGAGGCAGGAGGTGCTAACGCAAGAAACAAAATGTAAGAAATAGTAACTGTTTTGTGTATTTTTGTTGGTTGAAGGAAATATTTAATGGCTTCCACTTATTGTTGCTTTATCTTTCTGCAGGGATGTGAAAGCAGGAAATATTCTTCTTGGAGAAGATGGCTCAGTGCAAATTGCAGGTAACTTTCCTGGTAACTTTGAGTAAACTTTAGGCATAACTGCATATCCAAAGAAATTATTTAATGATCAAGGAGAAATTCACAAAAAATTGTTAGCCTCAAAAAGCCCCACAGTTCTTAAAACAAACAAACAAAACCAACAACACCAAAAACGCCAACAATAAACAAACCACAAACCAAAACAAGAAACTGAACCAGAATTTACTACATCTTGTTATCTTAAAATACTCTTATTTGGAACGATGACAATAAACAGAAATAAATCATTTGACTGTCAAGTGCTCAGAATCAATAGATCAGATAAAATTCTTGGCATAAGCTAGTCAGATTTTTAACTCAACAGATTTATAGGCTTGGAAGTGGAGTGCACAGACCTCACTGATTTATTGTCAGTGTGTAAGGTGGCTTTCCAAAGGACTGTGGCAAAGGGTGGATTGATTTATCAGAAGGAAATGGGTATATCTGATAGTAAAGGTCCCTTACAACTTTGCCTTATGGAAAGAGCTGCTGATCAAACTGCTCATGTGGATGTTCCCCGGTCTGCTCCAGTTGAATTGGGTGGCAGAGGGGGTATTTAACTGGCTGCCCTGACCCAACCCAACCTGGAGTGAGCTGGAAGTCTTGGGAGCAGTCATGCAAGCTTAGGAATAGGGTAGGGAAAACTGTAAAGGCAGTTTCTTTAGTTAATACAGATCTGCCTGGAGTTGTGTGTTGTAGTCAGGGCTGTCATGAGCTGCAGCAACACACGTGTGTTGGAAACAGTCCTTGGTGTGGGTGGACAGTGTGTCTGTGGAAAAGGGGTGTGCCTCCCCTCCAGCCCTCCTCTGATATTTTCTTTCATACATGTTTTTACAGACTTCACTCTTCTTTCCAGAAACCAAGAATTACACCCCATCCTTGGAAACGTTCAAGGCCAGGTTGGATGGGGCTCTGAGCAGCCAGTTCTGGTTGAAAGTGTCCCTGCTCGCTGCAGGGGGTTGGATTAGGTGACATTTAAATGTCCCTTCCAACCTGAACTAGGCCGTGATTTTGTGATTATTAGTATTGCAGGCTATTAAGTAAGACAAGATTTTTGGAGAGTACATTTAGAGCCTGTGATATTTGCTTTTCCTCCTCTTCCCAGGGTGCTGTTTTCCTCTACTGATCACGATTCTTCTCCAGCTGTCCTTTCTCTCAGGACTCCATTCTTTCTGTGGATCTCACAGTGCTTTTCCAGCCCCTGTGCCATTTCTAGCTGGAGGGCAGAGCTCGTGCCTGGTCCTGCCATCTTGGCAAACATCCTTGTAAATGTTTAACATTTTCAATCCCATATTTAATTGGGAAGAGACGTATCTGTGGGTGATAAGGTCTGTTTAGTTCCCTGTCCTGCTGGTGCAGGCACAGCAGTGGGTCAAGCCAGTGTGCTGGGGGTTAAGGGATAGGGCAGTGACTGTTGTGTCGGGGGAAGTGCCTGCTGCATTTTTTATTCCTTTGGAATATCTATGCCTGGCTTTGCATCTTGGAATGAAAGCTGTGGATTATCCACCAGGAAGCAGAACACGTTGCAATGCGGTTTTTATAGGTAGCTCTCCCCTCTGTGCAGAGGACAATAATCCCTTTTACAGAACATAACACCTATTTCTGTTTAAAACCTGAAGTTGCTTTGTTTTCCTTTTTAAGTCTCCCAGTGCCCTTAATGCCTGAGGTGTAAATAATTAATCTGTGTGGCAGCTGATGGAAGGTAGGGAGTGGCTTCTAAAACGCTCAAAGGAGGAAACTTTTTACGATAAAATCCTAGATTTTTTTCCATAATGGGGCCAAGATATAACTTTTTGGATTTGTGCTTGCATGGAACTTTAGATTCTGTTTTGGGAAAGGCTGCAAATAGCTGTTATTCTGAGTGTTTCTGCCAGCCTAGAGAAAGCTGCTTGTGTTTCTCTTCCACAAGGGTGCCAGGGCTTGGCTTTTTTTATATTAAGTCTCACTGGTAATAGGTACCTGTTTGTACTTTTTTCTGCTGAATAATGTTTAGTTGATAAGTAACTTTAAGGTTGACTGATCTTAACTGTATGAATTCCAGAGGATTTATTTTGTCTGTAATTTGTACATGCTCCCCTAGACTGAACTACTTGTGGTTTGTATGTGCAACATTTAAATGATGAAATCCACCTCTCAGCCTATCCTGTGAAAGCAGCATTGTGAGATGTGCAAAGTTCCCTCTTTACAAACTCTTCCTTTGAACATGCAGAAGGTCCAGTGAGACTCTGTGACTTTTCATCAGCCACAGCAGGGCCACTAAACTCAACCAAGGTCAGCGAGTTCACCCGGTGGCAGGAAGCACTTTCGTTTCTGTGGAGGCAGCTGATGACTTGAAAGAAACGAAAATAAATTAATGAATAATAGAGAAGAGCCTGACCTGGTCATAACACGAGATTTCGTTTCTGTGGGAATTTCTGACACTTAAGCTTCCTTTCCTCCTGACCCAGGATGAAATAGCAAAATTTCTAGCGAATTCTTTGGGGAGGAAAAAATGCTGGAAGCAAACCAATCCCAATAAAATGAGATTTGTTTCAACGAGATCAAAGCACTTGCCTTTGATAATAATATTAATGCATATTATGAATAATTCTGTTGATTGAGTGCTTCAGTTCTGAGCTAGATGACATCACTGCGTTCCCATGAAACGAACATGTTTAAGTTTCACTGGAAAGTTACACCAGAAGGAAAAACCCAAAAGATGGATCAGCTGTGGAATGAAGCCTGAGGGTCAGAGTGAATGGGGCACCTCCCTGCTAGGAGCTGGTTTGGTGTACATGAAAAATTTAAATAATGTAGCAGGGAAGAATGACTTCCATTCTTTTATAATGACTCCTTTCCCTCTTGCCATTCCTCAAGCCACACTGCCTGTGAACATTTGTTAAGAAGGTCTTATTCAATGTTTGGCCTTTGCAGCCTTGTGTTCCTGTGTGTTTCCTACTGCTTGACACAATTCCTGCTTCTTGTCTCAGAAGAAATGTAATTCTTAAATGTAAATAAGGAGTGTATATCTCGAACTGGAAATCCTTTGAAGAAAAGAAGCAAAGTGCTTTCAAGGTTTGGAAAAAAATGCTCATCCCCGTAATGGAGGAAACCTCACTGCTGGGCTGTACCTCCACAATGTATCAGTGAATTTAATTATGGGAAACTTTCACTGTGTAGAATTCATGGGGGTAATTTTGCTGCAGGACTCTACAGTTCTAACTAGTGAAAATTAAAGCCTCCTTTGTTAATTTGGGCCATGCAATTCTGTTAAGGCTGAACAGAAAAAGCAACTTGATGAAAGTGTGTCAGACATTTCTCAGGTTCTGTTTGTAGCTCTGAATTGGTGGTTGTGCATCCGGTGTGAAAGCTGCTGTGGGAGCAGGTGAAGGGGTGGAGGAGAAATCTGTGAACTTGGGGGCATTTGCTGGGAGTGGGATTTCTAAAAATTCCTCTAATGGCCTGCACAAATTCCCAGGTTGAAACTCCTCCCCAAGTCTTGAGACTTGGTATTTTTACTCATGGCTCTATTTTTAACTCTGTAGCTCCTTTTGCTTTCAAAATGTGCATCCACTGAACCAAGGAGAAAATTGTCTTTAACAGACCGAGCTGACCAGCGAGAACTAAACTGAGGCAGTTTGCTTCTGTCTTAACACTTTATTTTTTTTTTTCCAAGGGCACTGGCTTGGGGTGGTGGCTTGGCATGAGGTTTTCAGAGCCTGTTACAATTCAGCATCGCTTTCTCAGTTTGAAGTGTTTTCCTGCACACTGAATTAATCTGTCTTCTGGAGAGAGCAGGACTCTTTCCCAGATACCGTTGTTCTGGGCTGTGGTTGCAATGTAAATTGAGATAGCCATGTTCTTTTGTGTTCCAGCCTCTCCATGGCAGTTATTTCTTTTAATCAGGGCATAAAACCTCTTTGCCCTGGCATTTATTGGCTCCCTGGAGTCTAAAAGCTGTACGGGTAAAAGCACTCTTGTCAACATAAACTGCATCAGCACCAATATTGCTGCATAAACCAGGAGATGACTTCTCACAGTAAGCAAGACTTAGCATTTGTCAGTTTACTTAACTTTGCAGGCCCTATAAATTATTGTGAAATGAAGTGAGCATCTTGATAGATGGGAAAGGGATGGGAGAGGTTGAGGGGAAACTCTCCCAGGGTGCACAAGACTTGCTCAGTGTGAGCCACACTCCAACCATGGCACGATATCAGCATCCTACTGAGTCGGAATACAGAATAAATCTTGTTTTTTCCTTGATTTTGTCCACTGGGGTATTAAATAATGCTGTTGCCCATCCCTCTGTGATTGAATGTGATGATAGAAGAGCCTGCTGAGGGCTGAGAGCGCACATCCCTCCATGGGTGGGATTTTTTGGTTGCAGAGTATCTTCGGGATTTGAAACCAGGGAATTATTAACGCGCAATCCGAGAGGTGCCCGGAGTGCCTGCCATGGCCCGGGATGGCCGCGCTGCCAAGCGGTTGAAGTAGATTGAGATTTCACAAAGTTGTTCAGGACTTGCTAATTGATCCTGGGCAAATTGCCCAACCCCTCTCGCTTTATCTATTTATAAAATGGGGATAGTTAAGGCCAGGCAAAACTTGTGTAACTGAATTTGTGTAACTTTCCACAAATCCCTGCCAGCTTGTCACCGGTTCGCTGTGTTCCTGACTGCTCTTAATTCATTGTACTAAAATAGCGCTCTACATAAACATCGAGCTATGGTGCAGGCAGTGTCATTCCCCACTTTCCCTTAGGAAACTCTAACTTTGGGAGATTAAGTGGCTCTAAGAAGGGGCAAGGCGCAAATCTGACTTGGGAGGGAAGGGTCGATTGCAACCAGTGTTGTATCATGACTCTTGTTGTATCAGGAGCTGCTTCTCCCTTTCAAAAAAAGGGCCAGAGGTATTTTTCTGTGTCTAGTGGAGAGTTTTAGTGCCTCTCCTGCAGCAGCATGATGTGAAGTAACTTCTTCTCTGTGTCACTTGTACTGTCTGTGTTTCCTGAAGAGATGTTGCGCTGTTTTGTTGTTGAAACCACTTCTCCAAGGGCAGTGGGTGGATTCACCCAGCCTGGGCTTTGTCATCCTGAAGTTACTTTGTGCAGTAGGAGAACAAGTGTGTATTTACAGATCCAATACCACTGTATATCCATATAAACTTGAAAGAAGCTTTTGATTTTTGTTCTCCACTAACCTTCCTTTTCTCTGGTGTCCGATCACCTACTGCTTTCTCAGCACAAAATTGCTGTTTGCCACGGCCTTCCTCCTCTTCCTGCCAGGTTTGTTCATCTTCAGTGCTCTAAAAGCTGTAAGGTTTGCAGGAAAACACTTAGCTACAACTGTAGATATTTTCTGATGGAGAACAGCTGAACAAGAAGGAAAGTGACTGGTGACAAAAACACTTAGTGCTGTCTTCTGAAATACTTTTTGTTTCAAAACAGCTCTGAGTGGTTTGAAGTCAAGATTGGATTATTCAGTTTTTCAACCCCTATTGAAGTTGGGAACTGCTTTAGGGTCTGATCCAAACCCACCAGACTCTGTAGGAGCCCTTCTGATATCAGCAAGCTTTTGTCCTGGTTCTTAGTGCACATTCTTCCTATCTTTCCCTTCTATGTATATTGTAGGCAGCTACGTGCAGTAGCTTTTTAGGATTAAGATAATGTTACAGTGTGAGATGGCCAAGGAGAGATGATTTTAAAAGCTGACTTCTAGATTTGGGTAAAACAATGCATAATATGGTAGAAATGTATCTTCCTGTGGTAATACACATTGTGATGTGGTCCTGTCACAGCATTCTTGCATCGGTGAGTTGTTCAGATGGAGTGTTTCCTTTCAGCTTTTATATTTCTTGAGTGGCCAGGATAGTTTTCAAGTTTGATAACTTGGATACCTTAATAGCCGGAATTTTTGCCTAGTGCCATGCTTTTCAAACACTGGTCTGCAACTTTGTTGCCACTGCAGGGTGTCCTGTAGGGTATGTGGTCTGAAACATGTGATGTTTCTACTGGAAAAGACAACATTTGCCATGTTTTTTGCAAAGTCTGCATCAGCAGAATTGACATTCCCATCCTGGACTGATTTTACTGTGATAAGAGAGTCTGGAGATATATATCTCTATATATCTATATATAGAGATATATATGTTTTTCTCTTTTTTTAAGAAGTCTTTGGTTTATATCACTGACACAGCTCCAGCAGATGAATATTTTCTGCACTGCTTCAGAAAAACGATTGAAAAAAAAAGATCCTACTGCTTTCGTCCAGACATCCTGGAGACTGTTATTTGCCAACAGACTGCTGGAAGTCTGCAGTATTTGGGCTCCTTTAGAATATCTGACAGTCGGTAGATCCCCAGCAGTGGTGGTTACTGGTATTGCAAGCCAGGTCCAAGCGTTTCCAATTCCTCCCTGTTTCTGGTGATTCAGTCCTTTCCAGTTGTCACCATAGTGAGCCAATATAAACTGTTGAGCTGCCAAGGAAGAGTACAAATGTAAACACTTCTGAGCTATCTTGAATTTCATGGCTTTTCCCATTTTCTAGAGTTAAATTCACTTGAAATAACCTGTTTCTGTTCAAGAATGGAGACTCAGAATTGTACCAACTGCTCAGAAGTAAAAACTGAATCTCAACTTGTGGTTAGGATTGTATTTTATTGCTTTGTAGATATTTCTTGAGAGCAGGCACATTCTTAGTAGCTGGGGCTTGGATAAAGTTAGTAAGGTGACATTTGAGAAGATGGTCTTAAAGTCATTCCTTACAGCAGAGTAGTACAGGCTGGTTGAGCCTGTTTTAGCCCACTGGAAATGAGGGAAATTGATTGGGAAAACATTGAATAAATCAACCATGTAATGAAATAAACTTTAATTCCATTTAAGCTTTTTGCTGACCTCAGATGGCAGATGTAGGGGCCCAGTTTCCATCTGGAATTTGTAAACCCATGTTTGATGTGAGATGTGGTGAATATTGTTTAAAGGACTTGTGTTTTTACTGCTGGAATGCTTTTGCTTTGAATAGCATTTCCTTTCCCCTCAAAATGACTGCATGGAAACTTGAGGTAAGATAATACATGCAAGTTCAAATACAGCACATCACAATAAAATACTGATGGCACTTGGACAAGTTTCTGTTGGTATTATCTTATTTAAAAGAACTTCTAATTGCTCTTGTGTTTAGAACAATAGATCTTGCAAGACTTCCTGTAATGAGCAGTAAGAGGCAAATAACTTTGAATCTTTTAGGAAGCTCCTTCAGTTTCTGAGAAAAGCAAGGATGGTTGATACTCACATGGCAGATCTCAAAGCAAAATTAGTGTTGCAAAAAGCATGTTTCCAGAAAAATAAGGGTTGTAGTGCTGATGGGACAGGGATCCATCTAAGAGTTCTAAAACTTCAAGGTTAGAAGGAAGCCAAGATGCCTTTGGGAACAGGGAAGAGAACTGGACAGCACATCTCTAAAGCTGAATCTTAATGATATGATAGACCCTGGCTAGTGCTGGTTTTAGCCCTGTGATTGCTGTGAAACTTCCTGCAATGTCACCTTGCAGTTATCCATGTGTAGTGACTTCAGTGAGCACTAAGTCCCTGTCCTTGGAAGTCTCTCACTGAAGTGAGCTGGAAGCTTTCTGAGTGGTGATTTCAGTGGTGTTTCTCAAATATTGAAAGTCTAATGAGAAGGGACTCGTTGCACTGCTGGTGTGATGCAGAGGGAAGCCTGAGGCTGTCCTCACAGGGACACCATTCCTTGCAAATTGTGAAGGGGGATCTTTTGTTGCAGTTGTTGCCTCAGTATAACATCCTTAAGACATGGAGTAACTTTGGCTCCTCTGGCCACAGAGGGAAAGGCTTTTGCATTTGCAGTTAACTGTCACCAGAGTTTCAAGAATTTTCAAACCAGTTGTGGTCAATAATGTTCTGGTTTTATGTGAAATAGCCCTGGAATTTCAGAGACTTGCACTCCAAGCCTGTCATCAGTCTTAAAATTGGCATTCAAGATTCTGATTGCTTGTAGTGTGTTTAAAAAAAAAAGTTGAGTTATGGAGAGTGGCCCATTGCAGGCCTATAATTCAGTAATACATAAGCAGTGTAGTTTGGAGAAAATTGGGAAGACATACACAGTTCTGTGTTTACAGTTTCCCCATCACATGATTTTTTTTTTTCTCAAGTGCCATCCTCTTCTGAATGACTTGATTGCCAAATCTTTTGTAATGCTCTTCTCTCAACAAACATACTGTATCCCATAGCTATCCCTGCATACTGCTGCTGCTGGTAACAGATCCTGTTTTCCATTTAATTCTTAGTTGCATAAGATATCAGGGTTACCTTTGACAGCATAGTTTTCACATAAGAGTGATTTACCTTAAGAAATACAATTACCAGTGAGTGGAAAGGGCATCCTTGAGCATCCTTCAGCTTGTGAAAGATGTTCCAGGTGAGGGTGATGCTGTGCAGGGTGTGAATACCTGTCTGTGAGGCTTCCCTGAGCTGGTTGGGCTGGTTGGGGGGTGTGTGAATTAATGCTGCTGTGTCACCAGGAACTAGTTCAAACTCCTGTTAAAGGAGCATTTGGGCCATGGGAGATTATCAAGGAAAACATGTTCTGGTAATAAATCATCAAGAATAAGGAGCTGATACCTCATCTGCAGGGTGCAGTTAGGACAGTTACATGTTATCAAGTAATTTTTTTATGCGCCCACCTTCCTTGCTGGGAATGTTACCAGGATGCTCCTGGAGGGTCAGTTCTCATTATGAATGTATGCAAATTAAATAAACTGTGGCTGGCAGGGGCAGGTCTGTACAGCAGCAGGTCTGCTGGGGGAGCACAGGCAGGCTCTAATGTGGCCAGTGGGCTGTAATGGAAAGTGGAATTTTCCTCTCTGCCGGCCAGGGCTGAAAGCTCTGCTGTCCCCAGGAACTGAATGGCGAACTGCTGAATGGCAGTTCGTGTACCAGCACTCTTTGCTAACTGTTGATCATTCTTCCTTTATTAGGAAACTCCTCATGCATGACTGCATGGTCTGGTACTTAATAGGTGGCTGGGAATATGAGGGGAAAGAGGGGACAGCCCTTCAGTTTGCTCAGGATGTGTTCTTAATAAATTCTTATTAAATTCTGCTTTTGTTTTCTTTTCAGACTTTGGCGTTAGCGCGTTTCTGGCCACTGGTGGTGACATTACCAGGAATAAAGTCAGGAAAACTTTTGTGGGCACGCCTTGCTGGATGGCACCAGAAGTTATGGAGCAGGTGAATTGTTTTTCCTACTGTCCTCTGAGCCGATCTGCACCTGGAATCCCCTGTTATCAGCAAGGGCTGTATTTGCTTCAAACTAAGATGATAATTTGGCATCCTCTAAGGTTTTCCTAAAACCACAGGATTTTCTTCAGTTTGCCTGTTGCAGACAGGCTTGTACTGTGGAATACTAAGTGTTGGGTAGATTTTTGCCCAATTGCTTCTCTTCAGGCTCCTGCTTAAGGTGAGATTGAGACAGCTCAGCTGTTGCATAAAGAAGATTAACCTGCCCCTCCCTCTTGCATAAATATTAGGTAGAATATAAATAGTTTCACCTGTGGTAAATATGCACATTCACAGCTCAGTAACATGCTCTTCTGCATTTGCAAACATCAGTTTAGGGTAGTTAATTGGGACGTGTCAAAGTGGGGAGTTATTACAGGAAAATAACATGCAGTTGACTTTATTCAGGTATTTAGCTTCTCTTGGCTTGTGAGTATCCAGACTGTAAAAGCTGAGGAATGCTTGCATTTCCCCCTTCCTCCGCTGCTCTTTTGGCTCTCTAAAAGATGTCGTAGTTCTTCCCCTTGGGTGGAGATATGTCACTTGTTGTCCTCTGCTGCTTCTAGACTAAACTTCAGAAGCATTGTCTGTGTGACTTCTGATGAAGGCCACCTGGAAGCTCTGTTTACTGTAAAATATCATTGCCCATTTCTGAGCAAGATCCACAAACAAAATTACCTCTCAGTCCTGACAGGGCATTTGCAGTAGCTGTTGATGGCATTGACGTTCAGTGCCGTGGGCATTCTGAAAACTATCCCGTATTCCCTTAAAATCAGTTTGACAGAGGGGGCTGGACTCAGGGTTTTTGACAGGTGTCCTAAGCTGAATTGTAACAGGCTATAAATGTTTTTCCTTTTTTCCTTCCACATTTTTTTTTAACAAAAATATTTTGGGAAAACAATGTTTTATTAAAGTAATCCCACCTTGTTACTTTTCTCCTTGCTGTTGTTTGCAATAAAATATTTTGAAGCTTAAGAAGAACTTGGAACGAGATCTCCATGTATATCTATAAAATGAAGTGGAGGTAAAACCGTGGTAGCACTTTAATGCATCCTTTCCTATATCTAAAACTTCTTGAGGAATGGAGGTAACTTCGGAGTAGCTTAAATGTATTATTGATTAAAGGCTTTTTCAGTGTTTGGCCTTTCCAGTGGCTCCCCATGGTGGCACTGAGGGGCTGGTGCGTTACAGCACTGCTGCAACATCCTCAGAGTGTAAGTCTAACACTGCAGAAGAAAGACACACTTCCCAAGTCAAGATCTGTCTTTGCAAATTTGATTCTGAACTGCTTCACTGTCATATTCTTCTGGATTTTTTAATTTAATGTTGATTTGAAAATAAATAAAAATAGAGTATTTGGTGTTTCCAAAGCCAGATCAGAGTTGTCCCTTGATATTCTGTCAGTTGTGTCCTGTGGTGCTGCAGCACTACTGCTGCTGCTCCAGCCTCTTTGCAGCTGCAGTCCTCAGGACAAAATGGAAAAAAAATCCCAAGGAGCAAGCTATAAAGGGGAAATAAAGGTTTCAGTGACAAAGTGAGGGGTGGTCCCCCACAGATATGTTTCCAGAGGAGACAGGTTGTCTAGGGAGTACAATACTTCCATCAAGGCTGTGCACATCTAGCTGGATGCAAATATCAGATGTTAAAGCAGTATTTTGGATGCTGATGTGAAATCCTTCAATGACCATTAGATCATCTTGCTGCCTTCCAGCAGGTGTCACTCTGAGCCACTAGATCCAACCGGGAAAAGGGACAAAGGGGTTGCTGTAGGTTGGCCTTAGATATGTAGATATTATCAACCCAATTGCACCTGGTTTGCTTCAGCATCATTAATTTCCTTTACCATGTTAATATATAATGGCCCAGCATTGTCTTTTAATGTATGTTCACTTCACAGATTTATGGCAAAAAAAAAATTGATGAGAAAAATAGATGTTGTTGATATAAACTAACTGCAGGGTAGTGAGTCATGTATTGGACAGATGTCAAGATGAACTGCTGTAGACAGTTTTTAACTTAATAGTTTTCACTTGCAAGCAGGATTATGTGAAATAATTCAAAACCCCACACACAGTTAAAATCCCGTTGGGGAATGGGGCTTTGTGCAGTGTATTGATGTGCTGCAAGATTAACTGAAAAACAGAGCTAAGAAATGTCCCAAAGTTATTCTTAAAACCTAAAAATAATGTGAGGGGGGAAAAAACCCACCCTTGCAGCATATTTCTTCTTGCCCTGTGCTCTTTTAAATTATACTACATATCTGTGCTTGTTTAGTTAACTGGCTTGAAACCTGTTCAAAATCATGGCACTCATAAACTGAGGCACTGCAAGAAACATTTCAGACATTTAAGCCTCGTGAAAATGATGCTTACAGTGTTGGAGGCATTACTGCAAGATATAAATTTGTGTTGCTATAGTAAGTTTCAGTTCAGCTGCAGTATTACATGACAAATAGTGCAGGAGGGTTTTTTGTTTGTTTGCCAAAATTAAAGATTATCCTAAAGGTAGTTTGGGGAATGTTGTTTGGTTTCCTCACAATGAGTGTCTTTCTTAAGCTTGTTAGGTTAGCTGAGCACAATGTCCCTGTTAGCTTTGCTCTGATTCAGTTCTCCTTTTTCCATAGTCTAATGAGAAGGAATACAAACCATCCTGAGCAACCAAAACGCTTTGATTTTCGTGGCTGCTCTTGAAGTTAGTACATAGTGTCTCTCCCCTGCAGCGGAGAAAGCAAGTGCCAAAATATTACCTAATAATAATGAGGAAGTAACTGCTTTGGCATATGAAATATTTTTTCCTGTGCAGGAGGGGAAGTAAATGCTATAAATTTTCCTGAACAAGCCTGTGTTTAATGTCAAGTGCAGAAGCTACTGTTAATTAGTGGAGGGAAATATTAGTCTGCAGGCAGGAGCAGGGGGCTTTTACTGAGCTGGTGTGTCCTGAAGTTCCAGGATGGAGCATGTTTGCAGTCAGATTGATTAAGCGGTTGACTAAAAGTGTAGTGAGCCGTGTGTCCCAAGGGGTAACAGCCCATCTATTAACTATGAGAGTTTCATTATGCTGTTTAATGACTCTCTGTGTCTTTGTGTAGAAGTCAGAGCCTGGTTTAACGCAGTGCCCCTTTATGTTCTGCACATGTAGAGGTTTACAGCAGAGCTGTCTTAGTTGTACAGTCCACAACCACGATTTTCCTCAGACTGTCACTTCTAAAACAGCTCCTCGAGGTACAAGAAGCTGGGGGAGAGGAGGGAGAAAGCCTTCCTTCCATCTCTGTAATGCTGATCTCTCCAAATTTGAGGGGAATGGAAGGAAAGGGTGAAAGGGATTGTAGTGTAGGACAATAAGAGGCACAGGCTAACATCCTCTTCGTATTTTTCAGGTCAGAGGATACGATTTCAAGGCAGACATCTGGAGCTTTGGGATCACTGCTATCGAGCTGGCTACAGGGGCAGCTCCTTACCATAAATACCCCCCGATGAAGGTGAGCAGGTCTCCAAATACTTGAGCAAGATAAAGCATCAGTGTGTTCTGTGGGTGTTTCCAAGAATTCGGCCGGCATGTTGTATAGAAGAGTTTGTCCTCTCAACTTGCACCTGTGGATCCTGATGTTCTTGGATTTATCTGAAGTCACCTTTTAAAAATACGCCACTTAATCAGCATTGCCTGAAACTGCACAGCTTTTACTTAGATCCTGAGTCTCACCATTATTGAGGAAAACGCTGCGTGTTTTAATCCTGGAACCTCTGAAGGCAGCAGATGTTTTTATGGCTATAAATAATGATCCAGAATGTGTTATCTGGCATCCAGTGACACTAGGATGGCGAGCCATTCTTTTTCCTGCACTGATAATCCTTCTTGACACCTCTCAGAAATTCTCTTGATACCTCTCATGTTCCCAGTTATCCCAAAGAATTTCTAATTTTGTTTAACGCCGACACAGTCTTGTCGTGCAGTGCAAAGTACCACATCAGTGTGAAATGGTGTGGTGTTGGCAACACTGGTGTTTTATTAAGGTTGAAGTGAAGGAAATGCTTTTTGCTGACACTTCAAAAATCTTTGTCAAATATCTTGAACTTCAGAGTGCCTTATGGTTTGGCTAAGTTTCCCTATTTTCTGACTCTGGAACGAGGAGTTACTTCCAACATGCTGCTCTTTCGGGGGAGGGTACCTCTTAAAGTTAAGAACTGACACTCACCAGTTGAATTCTGAAGCATCCTGTCTGTCTACAGAGCTTTGAGATCTTTTTTCTTACCTCCTTTGTGATATCTGATGAGGCCTTGTCTCAATCACAAAACTTTAAGCCCCTTTGGCTGACCCTCTTGAAGGCCACTTTGCTTCTCTTATTGGGAGGAATGCTCCCTTGGATCAAACACGAGGGGCTGGAGACCCTTTTTGATACCCCCATACCTTATGGTTAGAGTAATTACCTGGGATATGAAGCCTATGGGTACCAAGTCTCTCTGTTTTTGGCATTGGGAGAGGGACTTTTACATGGACAGATAGTGATAGGACAAGGGAGAACAGCTTTAAACTAAAAGAGGAAAGATTTAGATTAGATGTGAAGAAGAAATTCTTCCCTGTGAGGGCAATGAGGCACTGAAGCAGGTTGCCCAGAGGAATTATGGATGCCACATCCTTGGAAGTGTTCAAGGCCAGGTCGGATGAAGCTTGAAGCAACCTGGGCTAGTAGAAGGTGTCCCTGCCCATGGCAGGGGGGTTGGAATTAAATGAGCTTTGAAGTCCCTTCCAACCCAAATCATTCAATGATACCATGGGACAAACTTTCCTTTTCTGAGTCCTGCCTGCTGGAGTGCTGTATGAGTTGTGGGTCACCTCTTCAGGACCTGGGTGAATCCCCTCCCACCCCACAATTACAGTAGCGTTTGGAAATCCAGTAACTCCCAACTCAGAACAGGCACATCCATGTATCCCTTTAAATGCCAGGACTTTGCACAGGTTTAACTCTTATAGAATTAATTTTAAGACTTGTCATGTCTGTGTAGGGACTGTTGAGTAGCTGAGTGGTTCAGAAATGCCATCAAAGTTCCTACAGACTGTGGCAGAGCAGGGAGGAGCTGAGGAAAATGTGTTGCTGGTTTAGCTGTTGCTGCTTTCATTGATATTTCCTTCTGTGCTGTGATTATTGGTAGCGTTTTTCAGCAGCTTCTGCAAGTTGTACTTCTGTTTATTGTGGTTTGAATGCCTGGGATGAAGCTTTGAATACCAACATCACCTATTTAGTATCATGTTCTGTATATGGTAGATAGAATTGAGTCCCCAGTTCTTTTAGGTTTGGGTTCCAGTTGTGCAGCCTTCAAAGAAGACTTCTGTCTTTTACTTATTGAATGTAATCGTACTGCACTGCAGATTAATTTTGTTATGTAGGAAAATTACCCATGCATTAAGTGACCCTCCAAGGAGTGCTGAAAAAAGCAGGGAATTCTGTCATGGACTGTATAATTCCAGCTAGATTGATGGGCTTTTGCTGCCCTAAGCAATATAGCTGTTGAAAGCTATTTAAATATGCTATGTGCTGCTTCCTTTTCTAAAAATAGATATTCATCTGTATGTAGGTGACAAGTGGAAATGGAAATGAGTAATTTTCTTCCTTTCCTTCAGAATATCTAAGTGATGTGAAGGAAATAATCAGTTTGGCTTGATGGGTGCTTATGTGAGAAATGTCTTCACCTGCTGTTGCACTGGTACATGGAAGTAAACCTTTGTATTTTTTTAGGTTGCCTTTCTGCCTTTACATTAATTTGATTTCTAGCTAAGAAATACCTGCAGGGAGGTGTACTGATTCAAATGCCTTGCACAACTGCTCATCTCAAAGGAGGAAAGCTGGTAGATGTTCTGCTCTGCTTGCACCTTTAATCACACTAAACAGGCCTGAAATCACATCCCAACCTTGTGTTTGGCCCACAGGCTCCCCTGTGGGCCAGGAGATGGGATGGGAAAGAGTAACTTAAATTGCTAACACGTCCTGGTGGACTCAGATGCTTGATGAAAATGCTTATCTAAAAATACATTTTTCCCAAGATCTGTCTCTAACAAAGGCCAAGAAAAATCTCATTGCCAATAGACATAATTCTTACAGGTTTTAATGCTGACGCTACAAAATGATCCCCCATCTTTGGAAACTGGTGTGCAAGATAAGGAGATGCTGAAGAAGTATGGGAAATCATTTAGGAAGATGATTTCATCGTGCCTACAAAAAGACCCTGAAAAAAGGTAAGAACAGGTGACACCAAAATAAATTTTATAAAAAACCCAACAAACTCACAAACCTCATTGTAGTCCCTATTTTTTTGAAGTTGATGCACTCTCTGCCCCTCCAGCCTTTCAGTCACAATGAACACAGCAATCTTGCTGTGTGGCAAGAAATTCTCTTGGCTGTCCTTATTTTTGTGGATAAATGTCTGGCATGGTGCCTGGCCAGGGCACACATCCCCCATTTGGGTTAATGAGAGTGCATCCCAGTCCACTGTGTGGGCAGGGCTGTTCTCCCCTTGCCACCTCCAGCAGGTGACTGCAGTTCATGTTTTGTTCCCAGTCAAAACTGCTCTGTATTTATAAACTAGAAATTGCAGGTTGGGCAATGTGTGTTTACTTACAAAACTGCGTAAATGAACTTTTTAAAAATTTGCCAGTGCAAAGAAGGCTTTCAGTGTAGTTTTGACTTGTTTAATTACAAGTAATATTTGGTTTGGAGGAGAAATTAGGACAAACACTGGCAAATTTTACCAGCATGTTTTCATCAATGCAGATTGCTTAAGTGACCTGATGACACTTTCAGCCTTCCTTGAACAATATCTTGACTACTCAGCTTTGTAGGAAATAGTACTGAGGGGGTGTGTGTTGTGTTGTTTTTAATACCTCTTAGGGTTTCTTTTTGCCCCCTCCTTTTCCTCCTCAGTAAGCAAACTTAATTCTGGAAAGGAAAAAGCGCTTTCATAAAATAATAATAATAATGAAGACATTTTTCAGTTCCCTCTTGTGTCAGATCCAGGAGCACAGGCTTCTCACGCATCCTGTGATGCACTTCAAATGCTTAATGAATCCAGTGGAGTGCTTGATAAAAATGCTGATAGCTGGGGCTTTTTCACAGCATGATATTTTTTTCACCTTTCTAAAGCATATCCTATCCCTGCAGGTTAGGATGTGTGCTGATCAGATTATACATAATCACTCTGGATCGTGGCACACCCCTTCTCTCTCCCCAAGCACCACTAACAGCCACTGGCATCATCCCGACTCTGGGAGCAGGAGGCATATTCCATGAGTTCTCAAAGAGGAGAATTTAGTGCAGTTGCTGTTTAATAATTTTAGGGACTCCCTTGCTATAAGGTGAATGTTTTTTGTTAGAGTAGTCTGAGATGAAATAAACCCTGAGATGAATGGCCTTTACAAGTTACTCATTAAACTCTGTTACTGTTTAAGCACCGTTTGCAGTGTGGGAAATGCTCTAAGCTGCTACTTTCTCATTCGGGCTTGAGTCTTTAGAAAACTCCTCCTAAACTGACCAAGGGGTGTCTCTTACTTTCCAGTATTTATTCCAAAGTTTGACTTAAAGGAGAAAATAGTTTGTAATTGTGCCTGTTCCAATAGACAAAGATTGATCATCCTGCCTGTGTTTAATAGAACTAATTACACACATTTAATCAAGTATCTCTGAAATAGCTGTTACTCACACACAGTGAGTGCTGCACTCCTGTGGTAGGTGATGATTCTGTGATTTCAATTTTGAGCAAATTGTTCCTGTGATCCTGTTCTTAACTAAGAGTCTCAAGCTCAGCATCAAAAAGGGGGCAATTTCTCCCCCCCCAGCCCCAAGTAACTAATTGCTTTGGAACAGAATAGGCTTTGGTCAGAATACACTGAGTGTTTAAAAGACTGCTGGTGTTATAAAATTCACTTGGAATGCATTGACTAATTTTTAGGGAATTGTGCAGGAGAAGCTGATGCCCTTAAGAGATGCCATGTTACAAGAAGCTACAGCAACCTGGAAGACCGTTGTGTTGAAAGGGAGCACTTATAATTGTCTTTTCTGCATCTGTTTTTATTGACAGACCCACAGCAGCAGAACTCTTAAGACACAAATTTTTCACGAAAGCAAAGGTAAGGACACACTTCCTAAACTGATCTGTGGAGAGGACTTTTCAGAAGCATGATAGGTGTGGTGACAGCTTTATTGGCAAGAGTGTGGGCTATTTCACTCGGGGCCAGCATAGCTGAGTGAGTTGAATGGGTCATTGTGAAGGAACAGAATGAAACCCCCCTTCTGTACCTCCTGTGTGTGCTGTCATTAGAGAAATTATCTAGAAATTCTTCAGCATTTAAATGTCTTTCAGTGTGCCTTTTGGTTTTGTTCTTCTCTTGTAATGGTTCCATTCTGGCTGCCTGTCCAACCATAAAGGTCTCTGTGGCAGCGAGTGTAACTTATATTTTAATAAACTCTATAATTAGTCTGTATGCAAAGGGGTGAATGAGGCCCACTGTGCCAGGACTACCTAAATCTATTTCACCCTGTGTTGCCATATGGAAAGTGAGGATCCTGTGATACAAAACAGTAGGAAACTCCCATTTCTAGCCTTGAAGTGAACTGCCAGCAAGCATTATGTAATTACTGCCTGGAGATTACTGCATATGCAATGTGCAGGGTCTTATTGAGGGAGACAGGAATAATACAAGGGAGAATTTGTATTTTCATGGGCCTGAGGAAATATTTTCTGTTTCCTTATTTTTTCTGTGGCATGTTTGTGATCAAAATGCACAGGGTTTGTAGCAGAATACAGATTAAACTGTCAAAAAGAGATTCGATGCTTGGGATAGCACGGCTGCATCACCAATTAATCAAAGTAGTTTTCCCAGATTAAGATGCTTAAATGGAAGTGGCCAATCCAGATAGCTGTTCAGGAACTGGATGTTCTATTAAAGCTGACAGAAATCCAACAGGTGCAACCAAGGGAAGGTTGCACTTCCTCCTCATGAGAGAAGGTGGAGAGGTGGGCACTGATCTCTTTAGTGACCAGTGGCAGGACCCGAGGGAAGAGCATGGAGCTGCATCAGGGGAGGTTTAGGTTGGATATTAGGAAAAAGGTTCTTCACCCAGAGGGTGGCTGGACATTGGAACAGGCTCCCCGTGCCAGTGGTCATGGCACCAAGCCTGACAGAGGGCAAGAAGTGTTTGGACAACACTCTCAGGCACGTGGAAGGATTCTTGGGGCTGTCCTATGCAGGGCCAGGAGCTGATGATCCCTGCCTGTCCCTTCAACCTCAGGGTATTCTGTGATTTGATAATTCTGTGAACTAAGGAAGTCTAGAGATTGATCCAGTTTATGAAATGTAGCAGTTTGCTTTAGGGCATGTTTAATTGATGTCTGGGCTCTTGACAATATTAACTGGGTTTTCACTGTCTGTGGTGGGATTTTAGGCATCTGTATGCTGGATGCACACTTGGTGTCCAAAGTGACAAGATGGCTTACACATTGCTGACCTTTCTCTGTTTTGTTATGCGAGTTCTGGATCACTTTACACTTCATTGTGTGTTAAATCTCCTTTGTGCTTTCATTAAGCTGCCATAGAATAACATATTAGCACGTGTGGTGATAGAAAATTAACATTATTGCAAATGAGGCAATACTTAACCTGGCATCTGAAGTGAAAACGTGTTCCAGTTCACACTTAGGGTTAAATTACTGTCATACATCAGCCACTGCCAAGCTGACAGCTGGAACTTGAGGGCTGAAGAATCCAACTTCTACACATCTATATTGAGTCATATATTTAAATGCAGTTTATGTTATGTGAAAGTATGGTTTGATAATGCTGAGAGCCACTTATCAGGAATGACAGCATGTGTCTTGAGACTCCCCATCCTGCCTGCAAGCAACCATTGCAGGGGAGTTCTGGGAGCAGCACTGCATGGCCAGAGACAACAGGGCTTTCCATCCTCACTCGTGTGCTGTGGAATACCCAGCTAAATCCCAGTGCCAATGCCACGGTCCCTACCTGGCTTCTCCCACCTCCTCTCCATCCTGAAGTTTGGCCCTGCAGTCCAGCAGTCAGAAAATTATACTACCAGGAGCCCACATTCCAGTCTGGAGCATCTTGCTGAAGAGGAAATTTAATACAATAAAGCATCACAGCAGTTTCCCAATATTTATTCTGTCATGATCACTGCATTTACTTCCTCTCTAAACGTAAATGCTGTATGTTTTTTCATTCACTTTCAATGTTGCTGCCCTAATTCCTCGATCTTATTACTCCAGCATAAAGGGATTCCTGCATCCCAGCCTGCCTGACATCTGAGATTTGCCTTTGACAGTTGGACAGGCATAAATTTAGGAGTAAGATAAAGCAAAGGGGTTGGATCCAGGTGGTGTAGTATCTGCTGGTGGAAGAATGCCAAATGCCTCAGCAGGGTGTCAGATGCTACAGTATAATAAGTGTGTTTGCCAGTAAATCATAATAATATCCAACTCCTCAGTTGTTAATTCCATATCACTTTGCAAAGGGAAAGTGTCACTGCTACCTGAAAAGGTATTTAGGATGAAACTTCATAGACGGTAGTTGAGAGTAAGGAAGTGGTTAGTATGGGGGTGAAACACATGAACCACTTTCTGCTAGAAATAGCTTAACAGTTACTTTATCAGAGACACTGAAGGAATCAAAGGGCATTTTCAGCAAAGCAAATGTTTGGTATTTTTTTCTTTTGCAGAATAAAGAATTTTTGCAAGAGAAGATGTTGCAGAGAGCACCAACAATCACTGAAAGATCCAAAAAGGTACTGAAAACCTCCCGGGCTCTTGCTGTTGCTGTTGTACTAGTATTTTAGGTTTGTGTTCACATTTTTAATGATAATTAGTGTAGTACAGCATTTTCTAGATACAAAACTAGACATTTCAATAAAATACTCAGGTACCCTGGCAGGTGATGCAACCTGAAGATGCTCTGGTGCTGTACCTCCTAAAAAAAGACCAACTGTAGAAACTGTTTGTTTGGTACAAGCTCTCTGTCTTTGTTCTGAGCAGGTCCGGAGGGTCCCAGGCTCCAGTGGGCGTCTTCATAAGACTGAAGATGGTGGCTGGGAATGGAGTGATGATGAACTAGATGAAGAAAGTGAGGAAGGCAGAGCAGCAATTTCACAGCTCAGGGTGAGTCCTCAAACTTCACTGCCTCTGTTTTGTTTTCCACTTGTAGTACGTCTAAATATATTTGGGAAGCACGTGGTCTGAAGTGTGATACACAGCAAATTATAATCCCTGCCGTGGAGTTTGCAGCTGAAGCAGAGAAAGACTGAAGGTTGAAGAAATTGTATTGATCTTTTCTGTCATCGTTGTGGGGCACAGCTGGTCTCATCCAGGGATGTTCAGCGTAATTGGAAATGTGCATTCCCACATTGCTCTGCTCCCAGCTCAGCATACTAATTCACTGGAGCCAAGATATTCCCTTTAAGGGTGCTGACTATTTGAGATGCTTTCTTCTGGAAATATCAGGAGAGGTTTTGTCCTGCTGCCCTCTCCAGGATGGAGCTAAAATCAATAGGTCCTGTGCTTATGACACACAAGGTTCCATCCCCTCAGTTACACCGAGATCGATTAGTCCTGGTAGAAAACCTTACAGCATCCCTGAAGTCACAGGAGTGATTGGTCCAGCACTTGAAAATACTCAAAAAATCACCACTTTCCCCTCTCCCAACACATGCACAAAGCCCCTCAAACCCAGACTAATCCCCAGGAGCACAGAGGAGTAATGCATAATGATCAGCTAAAAGATTGCAATGAATTTTCAGGCTGTCTTCCCCCAGCAGTCAGAAGTGTGGGTTTTGCTTCTAATGGTTTGCCTGGTCCCTTTTCATTACAGCAGGTGGCGTGAAGTAAACCCTGTGTTTTAATCATCCTGTAATTGAATTAGTGAGACAGTGAAGGATCTTTAGAGGAAGCTTTTCAGTGTGAAAGAGAAAAAAGCCCCCAGTACTGGTTTGAAGCATTTATTCCTTTAAAAATTTTTTAATTTCTCTTACATTAGTCTTCCTTCTGCTACTGTTTTGAATAGGCACTTAAATATTAAATGCAGGGTTTTGCATCTTTTTAGCATCTTTTGAAATACTTGGGTTTTTAAAAACCACTACTGTAATTCCATTCTTTGTGACAACAATTATCGTGACTTTTTAAAGAACTTACTGTGTCCAGCTTCATATTACACAGTCAAGGAAGATCTTGGTACCAGGTGGCTACTGCTTTGGTGCTTTATAAGCTGAATTCTTCTAAATTCCTTTTGTAGGTTTAAATATGATCCAATTTTAGGAGTCAATATTGTAAGAGACCCTAATTCTCTTTAAGAGATTACTTAGAACTTGTTGTATCTTGTCTCTAAGCTCAGGGTACTGTGACTTAACCCTGTTTACTGTGTTTTGAACAGTACTTGTTTCATTCCTCTTAGGCAGAAAGAAGCAGATTGACACACATGTTTACAAGCTCCTTTACAAACCAGTTTTTTCTTGATGCTTTGGCATATTTCCTTGTGCTGCTGTCTGTTCTGGTTGCTCTAATTTGGGCTGTGCTTGGCCTTTTTACTTGTAGGTCTCCTGTTCAGGAATCCTTTAGGGGGGTGTTGGTGTAGGAGGTCTTAATTGAGTTACCTGAATGTAGATTCTGAAGGCACCCCATGTATATATACCACAGAACTTTGGGAAACCCATATGTTCAAGGATATCAGGAAGGACACCGTGGCATCTTCAACCTCACTGCATGTCTGCCTGGGTACTTGAATTTGATCCCTTTTCAAGCAGTTCTAAGACTTGTATACAAACTTCCGATTTTTGCCATGAATATGGTGGTGCTATTGAGGACTAGTGCTTATCCTGTGTTTTTGGCTGTATTTCAAACACAGGGTGTAAATTCCTCCTGTCTGTAAATCCCTCTGCAATTTTACCTAAGTTGTTGGATAGAATAACTTGTGTTAACTAGGTGTCACCTTTTATTCCTGCCCATTGCAATGGGGGTGGAGTAGATGCTCTTTAAAGGTCTTTTCCAACTCAAACGATTTTGTGATTCTGTGATTCCATCTGTACCTCTATTTTATAGCTGTCAGCCTTAAAGTGAGGCCTTGCAGACTGACTTAACTTGCCAAAATACTGAAGTATTAACGTTCATAAAAGCATCTACATTAATGAAAAGTGTTTGTATTTTTTACTTGTTTCCACTTTACAGAAAAAATAGGGTGAATTTAATGTGTACAAACATGCATTTTACAAGTCTCTTGCTAGGTCTGCACCTGAAAGCAGACAAATATTTATTATACTCAGACCCAGAAGTATCTCTTCAATTCATTAAATATGGTGACTTGTTGGCTCAGCATTACCTTTTGGATATAAAGACTTACTGAACTTCCTCTCTGCATTTAAAACCTTGAATTCAAATTAAAGCAAATTAAAGCAGTTGTGTTCTCCAGGCTCTTAAATCGTTCACGTTCTTTTGCCCAATAAATCTGTGCACTGGTGAGTTGTGTGGTCACATATCACTGCTTACTCACATCATTGATTACACAAGCAAAAATTAGTTAGAACTAACCCCTCAAGTCATCCTATTCGTGCCTTTTAATGTTTGTCCTGTTTTCTTCCTGTCCATGTTTTTCATAAAATCGTAGAGTTGTTAAGGTTGAGAAAGACCTCCAGGGTTGTCAAGTCCAACTGTTCACGCAGAACCACCATGTTCACCTCTAAACTCTGTCCCCAAGTGCCACATCTACATGTTTTCTGAACGCTTCCAGGGATGGTGACTCTACCACTTCCCATGGCAGCCTGTCTCAATGTCTGGCCACCTTATCAGTGAAAAAATGTTTCCTAACAGCCAATTTAAACATTCCTTGGTGTAATTTGAGGCCATTTCCTTTGTGTTATCTCTTGTTACCTGGGAGAGACTGACCCCCACCTGGCTACAACCTCCTTTCAGGCAGTTGTAGAGAACAATAAAGTCTCTTCTGACACTCCTTTTCTCCAGGCTAAACACCCCCAGCTCCCTCAGCTGTTTCTCATAGGACATGTGTTCCAGACCCTTCCCTAGCTCTGTTGCCCTTCTTTGGACCTGCTCCAGCACCTCACTGTCCTTCTTCTAGTGAGAGGCCCAAAACTGAACACAGGAGTCAAGGTGCAGACTCATCAGTGCCCAGCACAGGGGACAACCACTGCCCTGATCCTGCTGGACACACTATTGGTGACACAGGCCACGTACCATTGGCTTTCTTGGCCACCTGGGCACATGCTGGCTCATGTTCAACCAGCTCTCAACATTTCTGGTTGTCATTTATGTGGGTTAGCTGTCAGCTGAGGGACAGAGCCTGTGTTTCCTTACTCGTCTGTACAGTGTTTAGCACACTGTGATCTCTCAGACAAGTTCCTTTTACGTAATTCCTTGAGGCATCCAGGTACTCTTGGATATGAGCTTTGTGCCTGAAAGAAAAGCGCAGCAGCTGTGGCCTGCAGATGTGGAGCATGACTGTTTCTCCGGGAGCAATGCCACGTTTTTCATCTTGCCTGGTAACTGTCAAGCGAAGGCTGAGCACACTGAGATGGATTTCAGGCTTTACCTTTCCAGCTGCATGACTTTTTTCCTGACACTGCCTGCACACAGTCATTGTGAGGGAAATGTTCCTTCTCCTCCTGTCCAGAGGGCTTTTCGCAATTTACTGTTCTGAGAATAAGACTTTTTAACCTTTTCTCATGAGAAGCTTCCGAGTAATATGTTACAGATTGCTCTGATCTGCACTTGGTGAGGTAGTGGCTTTGCATAGACTGGCTCAGGATAGTGGCATGATGAGGCTTAATGTTATGCTGCTGAGCTTCTACTGTCCAAATAGCAACCTGTCTGTTAGACCATTGTGTGGAGAAAGGAACACCTATTTTATTAATTCCAGCATGGACCAAACCATCCTACGTATCTCCATATAATAATTGGACCTGTTGGAAGCCTAAGCTTCTCTTAATTGCAGAGCTTCCCTGCTTGGCAATTCCTTTCTGCTCATGTGAAACAGCTAATGCTGTTATCTTTGTTTTACTGATAAGCAAAGGTTGGTCACATTACTCTGACTGCACTTTCTCCTTTGTTCCACTGATCTCTTTGTTTCACTGCTGAACTCTGTACACCTGTCAGTTCTCTGCTTTCTCTCACAAAGAGCTACAGCATAATGTAGAGTCCAAGGGCAGGGAGAGCAGTCCAGGGATTTCCTTCTGTAAAGCAGCATAACCAAGGCTGATTCTCCCCTCCCACCCCACAAAGGTTTTATATGTTTTAAGGAACTTGGTTTGCAAACTACTTCTCTAAGTATACAAAGAGGATTTGTTTTCTAGCAGAATTCTGCCAGGCAGATTTGTGTGACTTATCGTTTTCTGCCAGGCTTGGGTAGCTTAAAATGGATTTTGCCATCTTGGTGCATAAGTAATTTGATCCAATCTGAGTGATCTTCCAGAGTCCTGGATTTTGCTAATGGGTAACAATGATAGCAGCTTAGGGTGTCATGTGCCAATGTGGAAATATCAATTGCAAATTCTGAAACATTGATTGTGTTTCTGGTTGGTACAACATCACAACAAATTGTGTGATATTCCTTTTGTTGTGCTTGCTAATACACATATTTAATCCAAAACAGTTACATAGGTTTCTCACAGTCAGTATGGTTCTCACAAGTCCTGGTCAATAGGTTTCACTTTCATTGAAGCACTGACAGCTTTTTCTCTGTTTTTCAGTCTCCCAGAGTGAAAGAACCTGTACAGAATTCCGAGGTAAGTTGAATAGACAGTGGCTTCCTGAAAAGATGACTCCTAGTTATTGCTGTTGTTTCTAGGAACATGCTTTATTAGCCTCTGAAAGCAATATTGTGTGAAGTAGAAGCTAGTGTATCTAGCTGAGCTCTGTTTGAAGAGCTCCCCATAAAAGGAATTCTTGGCTGTGTAATGCCAAGAGCTCTTCCTGGAGTTTGGTGTATGTCTTGTCTACTTTATTTGCTATGGCAAAAGTCTGTATATTTTAAGGTAATGAATTGGTCACAAGAATAATTAAAGCAAAACAGCTATGTTTCCATTTCTTCTTTTAAAAAAACCCAACACAAACTCAACAGAACACAACTTTGAGATTTCTGGTTTGCATAGTCAAATTCTCTAGTTTGGAACCAGAGAACTCAGAATCTGCTCAGAACTGTGAAAGGAATCTGTGGTGATATTTGATAGCAAACAAGGCTTCAGTTGCAGTTTGTAGTCTTCCTTCAGTTCTGAACTGTTTCTTGCATTAGGAATGTTGGTATATCTTATCTCTCAGTGATAGGGACTGCTTATCTTCCAGAGACTGTGCTATGTCTGTCTTTTCCCTACCTGTGTGGAAAGATAAACAGAGCTGTCTCCTAGAAATTCATCTTGGGTTGGGCTCTCCTGTTCTTCCTTCGTTTCCCAGAAATGTTTATAGAGGAAGATCTTAAGAAACACTATAGTTCTGGCACTGTAATTTGACATAAATTCTAAATTCAAAGAAAAAGCTGAAAACCAGAATCCCTTTGGGATGAATTTTTCCATTGTAATGCATCCTTTAATATATATTGTGATTTGGAGGTCTCCTGCCAAAGTTTTCAACAATCAAGGTGATTTATATTTCCTACAACCCATCAGAGTAAACTGAAGGGCACACTGAAGTGCCAGCAAGCTGACAGTTCTTTGGCTCCAGTGCCAAAATCGTTTTCTCTGTTCTGAATAACCAGAGATAAAAAAGATTGAACTTTCATTTACCTCTTTTCCCCACCCTCAAATTAATTTTTTTTAATTTATTTTTTTCCCCCAAGAGGTTGACTTTAATAAAAGTCCAATCCTAAACCTTGTCTGGTGTGTTTTGAAGAACGCTGAATTCACTTTTCATTGAATATCCAGATTGCTCTGACTCTGACTTTTCTGAATGGATCAGTTGTCGATAGTTATCTTACTGCTTTGCTAGGTTTTGTTCTCTGAAGGGAAAGACAAGTCAAAGCAGGGTTTTTCTGCTGTGACAGCATGGCTGCTTGGAACTGTAAGTAGGACTCGGATTCCGAGAAAGAGGGAAACTGGAGGATAGGGTGCTCTCATCCAACCTGGGATATGATCTGTGTGCATTCAGCCTTGCCACAGAGTGTAATTTTTGTCCAAGATCCATGCTCATGCTGGTATCTTGGTTTCTTATCCTTCTTTACAGATGGGTAAAACTTGCAAATGTCAGGACACATTAAACCCCTTGAACACCAGCTTGGGATCAGCATTAGCATCCTGGAGTCCTGGGAATGCCCCTGGCATTGAACTTCTCTAAGTGATTTATGTGGTGAACAAGCATTTCTGGGAAAGCTGGTGCTTGAGTCAGAACTCTTGAGTTCCTTTTCTCGTTAAAACTCCTTTTTACTTGCAGCTCTTTCCGTCAGCTGAGCCTCCAGGTCCTTCACTCAATGCTCCAGCACAGGCACCTACTCAACTACCTCAGGCTGCAGGACAAGCACCTGCACAACCTCAAACTGCTGTACCTCCACCTAGTCAGGCTCCTCCAGCAGCCCCAGCAGCAGCCCCAGCAGCAGCTCCAGCAGCAGCCCCAGCAGCAGCAGCCCCAGCAGCAGCCCAGGTAAGAGCAAAAGCCCTTCCTACCAGCTTTCAGGTGCACTTAGCTGTTCTGTTCCAGACATGCTAGAATGATCTAAAGCCATGGAAGTTTCTTGTCTGAAGTTGATTTAGTGCTGCAGTTTCTGCACAAGGACAGCTGGTGCTTGCAAAAGGAAGATGGTCAGTGTAGGTGTGGCAGTTTTTCATTATTCTTCTGTGGGTAAGCAGTGACTTTTTATGCTGTTCAGGGAGTAGACTCTGGCTTGAGGCAAGGTCAAAGGGAAGAAAAAAAGATAGTCTCATTTAAGTGGAAGCTGCTTGTTCCTGGTATTTAAGGTGAAGCACAAACAGACTCTGTGTCTCAACACCACTGGCACCTGTGGGTAAAAGTGGAGAGAAAAGTGAGGGAGAAACTAGGACCTCACTTCTCCAAATTGGTCAGAGAAAAATGGCCAACCCAAATAATTTCTGAGACACTTAGAACATATCTTGTGGTTTGCTGGAGTAAAGCACTGCAGAGCTTGCTTGGCTCCTGAGTGATGGCACACATTTTATAAAAGACACTGATGTTCATATTTGTTGGAGTTGTTTGTTCATTTCTTGTGGGGAGAGCCTGTCACTGCTGGGGGGGACACCATCAGCCTTTGGCAGACCCAAAGAGAAGAGACTTGACAGTGCTGCTTTGAAAAATAAATCTTAGACTTACTTCTTCCTGTGTTTCATTAACTTTATTTTAAAGAATGTAGAAAGTGCCATATATCACTGCAGTCAGATCTGTTAGGAAGAAATTCTGTACTGTGAGGGTGGTGAGGCACTGGCACAGGTTGCCCAGAGAGGTTGTGGACTCCATATCCCTGGAATTGTTCACGACCTAATTGGATGGGGTTTGGGCTTGGAGCAGCCTGGTCTGTTGGAAGGTGTCCCTGCCCCTGGCAGAGGGGTTGGAACTAAATGATATTCAAGGTCCCTTTTAACCCAAACCACTCTGTGATTCTGTGTTCCTGATTACAAACATTAAAGACAATCCATTAGTCATTACACAAAAACAGTGGAGTTGTGGTCTGACACATTCTGTTAAAGCCAAGCTTTAATACTTAAATTAAACCCTTCAGATGTCTTCAAAAAAGTCCAGTGTTTAATCCCTGAATTTTATGCAGCAGTTGAAACACCAACAGCAGTGAAGGCTGGGACTCTGAGTAAAGTGAAGCAGCAGTGGTGGTCTCGGTGACAGTGTTTTGGTTTGCACTAGCAGTGTGGCTTCCTCCCTGCCACTGGTGCCCAATAGCTTGTTTGTTGGTAGCTTGTCCTAAGATAAACTTCATTAACTTGTGTCAGTGAGTTCTTCTTTATAGCTCTTAGTGTCACTATGCTTTTTTTATACCTCTTTATTGTCAATATGTTCTTTACAGCTCTTTATGTCAGTGTGTTATTCTTTATGGCTCCTCTGATTCTTGTTGCTTGCTGGTTACTGTTTTGCAGAGCTCTGGGCTTCTCCACGAACCCTTGTTTGTTTTCACTGACCTGATAAAGCTTCAACAGAAACCAGGTTGTGATCAGAAGCCCTGAGCTGCATTGCTGGCCCAAGAGCACCATGGAGTAAAATACTTGTCTTAAACAAAGGGTTATTTTTTCTTCCTCTCATGAAAAAGCAAGTGATCTAGATGAAAAAAACTTGGTCAAGACTTCTGTGCTTAAATTATCAGCCTGGTGTTGTGTCTGTCTTGTTACTGCCGTTGTAAAATCCCTGCCTCAGCGTGTGCAGGTGACTTGTGCAGTTGGGAGAGTGACCAACCCTTCTCTGTTTTGTTTCACTTTTTTGGTGGATGTTGATTAACAATTAGTCCTTTACTGGAACTGTCATAAGTGCTGTAAAGACGGGCAACTCCTGGATCTTTCCTACTGCTGCTGGCCAATATAAAATGCTTTGATTACACATTCCAAATGTAATTATTCGGATGTAATTTAGAAGTGAGAATAGGCAGCTATAAAATTGCTGCTGAATGCTCTTAAAGGCTTTGATTTCACAAAAAAAAGTAACTGAGAGTTATGCTAATCTGGCAATTAAATTGTTTCCTAGGTACTCTTCACAATTATGTCAGGTTTTTAAATCAGATGTTTGGGGCAGGGTTTAAAACACAGGAGGTCTTGAATAACCAAAAGCTTTAAGTTTTAATGCAAAGCAATCTTTTTACAATTAGAACTTCTGTAGTCTCCTGCCCTTTTGTCATTTCTCAAAGTTGTGTAGCTTTTGTTCTTTTCAGGACTACTGCAGAGACCCTCCTTGGATACTATTTGTGTGAAGTTCTCTTGTTTCATTAGTCCGTCTTTATTTTCACTGTAGTGATTCCAACAGCAAGTTAAACTTTTATTTTATCTGTAGTTGATCAAGGTTATCTCTAGTTTTAAAACCAGAGCCAGGAATTGTTAATCTGCTTTAAAATGATGTAATTCTATTGCAGGCCCCACCTGCAGCTGCTGCAGCTTCGGTACAGGAAGACACAAAAGTCCCCATCAGCCTTGTACTAAGGTTAAGGTAAGGACACAAAACTGGCCTGTTCTGTCAAAGTGAGCCTGTGTGCAGAGGGACACTGGCAGACTTTTGTACCTCTTAATTAATAGGGTGGTGGTTATATGTTTTCTCAGCTTGGATTTCAACCACTCTTCTGAAACCAGGACCCAGAAAAGCAGTTTATCACAGCCACTTCAGTTTGGCAAAACCTGTAGTGTGGAAGAGGTTTCGGTATTTGTATAAACATTGCTAAGCTCTAATGGGGTGGAAAGGAGGGATTAACTGGGTTCCTGTGATAAAACAAAGTCTCAAGTTTCTATAAGTTTTGAATAATAGTTTATTATATGGTAAAAGCAAAGCAGCCAACTGGGTGACAGAAATGGGACCAGTTTCCCAATTCTGCACACCCCTACTACAGGGTACATTTAGTATTTATCTTAGCTACTTCATGCATATTAATTATATCATATACCTATACATTCTACAGGTTTTTGCTAAGTATTTAATATATGGGTTTTCTTACAGCTAAAGCTAAATGGTTATCGCTCCAACCAGCCATAATTGATGTATTCTTGGACGAACAGGCACCTAAAAGATTTAAAGTTCTACTATATTTTATTAGGATAGTAAGGAGGTTTTAGGCCTCTTGACCTTGTAAGGGTCTGTTTTATTTCTTTATGGGGGTGTAATTAAGTTTTACAATGCGTTTGTTTTATTTTGATGTAATCACCCATTTGTTTCATGAATCACAATTATTTATATATCACAATTCTCTCCCCTTTTTTATTATTGACTTATTGATTCGTGAGTTTTTGATTTTTATAATATTAACTTG